TTTCTTGGGCCAAGCCTTTGGTATGGGAATCATATAGGCTTGCATCAGTAAGCTCCTATCGAGCTAGTTTACTCCTCTTACCTCTTAAACAACGTTATTAAACTTGACCTAGATAATAATCCAGTTAAGCTCCTATTCATTTCATCTGTTCAACCAACACGTTATCGGTCAGACCAGGTTGTTTGTCTTATACAATGTATTGATACATTTTGAGGTGGGAGTATAATAGTGATTGCAGTTTAAAATGTAATTTTTTTCTAAAAAAATATATTAAAATAATATTTATTTTATTTTTAAAAAAATTAGTTTTAACTTAAACAAAAACAAATATTTAAACTTTTTTAAAATATAATTTTAACTACATTTCCAAAACAGTATCAGCAAGAACTAGTGAAGAGGGAAGTGAATCGTCTTATTAGATGAAGATATCAAGATCAAGTCTAATAAGCTGCAACCGTCCAGAGTTAAAAACAAAGCTATAATTTAAATAGCCTGAATCTACCATGGATGGATTAAAAATATTGAAACAAGCAACCCTTTCCATGTGTTTCTTCCATTTTATATATGCATCTACTAGGGATCCTGAAAGATTTGGTTTTTGGCATCTGCTATGCCACACCGACCCCACCCCACCCCACAACTAGTATTTCGTTCGTACGCCTGCATGTATCCGAGTGAAAGCAGCAAAGCACTATCTCTTCTCTGATGCTTCTCAACATCACATCACGCCCTAGCAACAATCTCTTTCTGGGCTAAAGAAAATCTTATACTGCTTGCACACTGTGATTGGAATGCTTTGAATGACTTATCCTCTACAAGAGTAATTTCCCAGGTTCATGGCAGGCAGATTACGTAAAGTGGTCCTGTTGTCCAATCATATCATGTAATTTCATTTATTTACATGGTAAACTGGAAAAGATACAGGTAATTGCCGCACTGATAGTGCGTTCAACAAAAAATGATGTGCCAAAATTGAGTAGTGTTATCACGACTCGAATCCTGGATTCATAATCGGCATATAGACAAGATTTTTTTTCAAAGTTTCATACCTATATGAATCCAAACTTACATACAAACTTATAATCTAAAGCTCTGATACCAAGTTTGTCACGACTCGAATCCTGGATTCATGATCGGCATATAGACAAGGTTCTCTTTCAAAGTTTCATACCTATACGAACCCAAACTTACATACAAACTTATCCTAACTCAATCAGAATTCAACGTATCATTAATAACAAAATCAACTTCAT